CACAGGGACCTTGGTGATGGTCTTCCAGGTCTTGATTATTGTCCCTGGAAGAAAGTGGCCATGTCCCTAGTTGGTGGGCAGCAGTGGCATCAAGCCTATAGGTACCTTGATGTTGGGCTTTCAGGCCCCAGTCAATGTCCCAAGTTGGAAGCTGCCCCAATTAGAGGTGGTAGAAGTGGCAGCGGAGGTAAACCAAAATGGCAGTGGAGGTGTCCCAAGATGGAGATGACTGCTTTCAGAGATGGGGCTGGAAGAATGAGCTATGCGATGGCGTTGGGCAGCCTGTTTGTTGATGGAACACTGTGGCGTGTCATGCTACAATGGGCAGCTGCCTCCTGGCCCTGACCATTGTCACAGTGGAGGTTACTGTGTGGGAAGGGCTATGGCGGTGGCTGCAGTGTCCCAGGATGGAGGTGGTTTGGGTGCAGTCACATGTTGGTGGATAGGGAACCATGGCACGGCATTCCTCTCCCCTAATCTCATTTCTGATCTTATATTTTTGGCTTTTCCAGAATGTCATGTAATGTAGGCCTTTGCTTCTGACTGTTTTCACTTTATTACTGTCCTTAAGGTTCATCCATATTGTAGTATGCACCAGTTTTTTTTTTGTTGTTGTTGAGTAGAACTCCCTGGCACCACAATTTCTTTTTCTGTTTACCAGTAATAGATATTAGTTAGAGCTGTTTCCAGTTTGAGAGCATCAGAAGCTTTTTAGAAGGGAATTGAAATATCCTTTCTCTCCAACCCCTTAGGATGACTGATTGGCTTACAAATGGGACAATAAACTAGGTTGGTGGCTGTGTATTAAGAAAATATATATTAGTTAGGAAAACTGAAGCCATCTACATACAGGGAATTCAAAGCTTATGTGTATAGCCACAGAAATTGGAAAGGTGCCCTAGAAATGAAGCTGTAGACCTCATTGAGCTTGCAGCTCCCACCACATGACTCTCAAGACCTAATCTGGGCCCTACTGTGAGTTTCTGGAATCTCTGGGAGCAAATGGTCTGGTAATCTGCAGCACTAGCGTCACCTGGGAACATGGTAGAAATGAATTTTCTCAGGCTCTGCCCCAGCCCTCCCTGGGTAAACCTCATGTGGAGCCCTGCAAAATGTATTTTAACATGCCTTCTGGGGTATTCTGATTCACAGGTCTATAGCCCAAGTACAGGGGTCCCCATGAAGCTCACCCAAGACCTACTTTAACCCTCATGTTTAACCATACATCAGCATGTAAATGCTTTCGCCTTCCAAATCCCACACAAGTGCCCTCATTGACAAATCTAATCAGGAAGCTCATGGATGGAGAATGGGATTATGGGAAAGAAATTCCGAAGATGCTCAAGAAGGTGGAAATAATGTTTAAGTGATAATGAACAACTAGTACAATTTGAGAAAAGTAGAGAGCTGACAGCATTGGATGTTGGTAAAGAAAAATAGGGAGATTTTGCAGCTGCTTCTAGCTCTAAAACCAGGAAATCATTTGCTTCTTCCTGTTGTCTAGTTAGGCAGCCCTTCATTGGCATTTATCTAAATGTTCCTGAACTCACATTTAATAGATATAGTGGCTACTCTTGGAAATCTGCTATTTCCAGTTTCTAAAGCAGTTCTATCATCTTACATTCCCAGGGGCTAGCTGAGTTGCTAAAGACAGTGAGCTAAGGTGGTTCCTTCTTAGTATGTATAAAATTCAGTTACAATATGTCAGTGGTTTTTCTGCTTTTTAAGCCAAAGAGAAAGGTAAATAATATTTAAGAGACTTGTAAACCAAGTGTGTAACCATTTTGCACAATTCATGGTTTTATTTAATGAGCTTCTGTACCATAGGATGAGAGTTGTTCCCAGTGGGCCTCAATCAACTAGACTATTGAACAGAAATGCAGAATGTAAATTGGGTTTTAACTAAAATCATACTGCTATTACTTTTTATGGAACCCATAATTTCTGGTAGAGAGCAGGCATATAGAAAACCATTATTATGGAAATGCCTTTCGGGATTTGACCAACTACATTTGGATGGCAAATGAATGCTTTGAGGGTTGATCTGTATGCTACTGCTGGCTGTGTAGTGCTAAATATGTGCCGCCCCATAGTTCTTAATAATGCAGCTCTCCTGGCTTTGTAACTTCCGTGCACTATCTTTTAGCTCTGTTATGCTTGTATTTATTTATTTATAATTTCAAAGTCAGGGGAAGACCTGTTTACTTTCATTTATAACATCAGTGTACCGACTGGAGTTGTGGTTCAGCAATAGAGCACTCGCCTAGCATGTGTGAGGCCCTGGGTTCGATTCTCAACACCACATAAAAATAAATAAATAAAATAAAATAAAGGTATTGTGTCCAACTACAACTAAAAAATAAATATTAAAAAAACCCACAAGCTTTATTTAAAGAAAAGAAAACATAAGGGTAGATATTTTTTTCAATAATCATGGTAAAATATTTCTTACTCATGAAAACAAACAGGAAAAAAAAAGATAAACCATATGATTTTTTTTTTAAACCTGGTAACTGAAAATAAACAATTATTTTGAGGCTGAGTTTTTCTCTTCATTTCTACTTCCCCAGGCCATTGCAGACTTTGGAAGTCAAAGCAAGATTGCTAAGTGGATCAATGCTTGCATAACTGATTTTAAATATTGCTTGCATGCTCGTGGCTCCAAATTCCCCAGACTCAAGATGCAAAGTTTTCTCTTCCTGCTGGACCTCTCCATCTGGAGATCTCAGGTGTGGACTGCCCTCTACAGCTCTGTGGTACAGGTAGGCCTCTTACTTTCTTAGCTGTGCTAAATGTTTCCTGAGGACAGAAGCATGCCTAAATGATTATTCTCTTACAAGACTTTCACCATAGCACGTCCTTGCCAAGTTTATGTTGATTGCAAAACAGTGGCAGGAATGGCAGGTGATTGATAAGCAGAAAAAGGAGAATAGAAGAGGCCAGAGTCTTGGATTTATCATGAGTCTTGTCCCAACTCTCCTGGTCAGAATGCTTTTTGGCCACAGCAGGGTCTAATTATAAAACTAGACTAAGGCAGTCGTGGTGCATCAGGAAGGGAACATTTGAAACAGTTGTGTGTTCTATTCTGACCCTGACAGCTATAGTCTGTTTCATGATTTCATCTCAGCTATAAAATGAGAGTAACAATAGCCACCTTGCCAGGTTTTTGAGAGGTTTGAAGTTGGTTACATGTATAAAGAGCCTGAAACAGTGGCCAATACTGAGTAGATACTTGCTAAATGACCAATATGCTCATGCTGTTTCGAATTCCTAAGCACTCTGTTTTCTAAGATATTCTCCTGCTTTCTTCCAGTTGATTCTCACAACTGTTCTGGGGGCTAGGAATGACTGGGATCTCCATTTTGCAAATGAGGAAACTGAAGCCAGAGTCTCCTGGCTTGCAGATGAGGAGCTGGAACTGGATTTCTTTTGGCAGATCATTTGCCCATTCTATTTCAGATTGCTGGACCTTTGCAAAAAGATCTCAGTTCTACACCCAATGCCCAATCAGTTTCTTCTTTCCCCTCCTGTATTTCTGAAGCTCCTCATTTCTAATGCTCAACATTACTTTCTAGTTACATGTAGGTTTAATTCCCAGGACTATGTCAAACTTATCTTGATTTGCATAGCAGGCACTCAGGACAAGTTGAATTGTTGAAGTTAGGGTCAGAATACAGCCCAGTTAAAAGTTGTCTTTAATTAAAGAAAAGGGGAACTAAGAGCATTGTTTGGCATATTATTCGAGAGCCAGCATGGGAGCTAACAAGACAGGAAGCATCCATCTGCAAGCCCTGTGCACAACTCACCCCACTGAGAATGTTAATTATGTTTTTAAAGGGAGACTGGGAGACTGGTGGCTTTTGGCAAAGCAGAGGAGAACGGGTGGCCTGGGGAAGGAATACTAAATAGTTTCTCTAGTCTATGTTGCCAGCTCTCTTTTGCAGCTCTGGGGAGGGAGAGCATTTCTAAAAGACAGCTCTTCTGTCTGTGAGGGAGAGTTCATCCTGTTGTGTTGCCGCTGCTTCAGGCACCCTTCTTGTCTGAGGATTTTCCCTCACCCTCTGTCCTTATCCAAATGCACTGGATCCAAAGTCCTTCCTTTCCTCTGATCTTTGTTCTATCCATGATCCCTTTCTATTCTCATATACTCAGAGTAGTAAATGCAAATTGATTCAATGTAATTTTGTTAGGTAGCTAGTCAGCCAGGAATGGGTGAGCAGAGAAGGACAATGAAGGGCAACAGAAAACCACAGGGAGCCTCATCTGACAGGCCAGCACCTGGGAGACAAAACTATTCTTTCAAGATCATGTTACACACCTACCATGTGGCTTGGACCCTCCTTATCACTTAAACTGTCACAACCTCCAGTCACACTAGCAACCATGACATTAAGATACCTACAGAGAAAGCTGTAATTATGTTTTTAAAGGGAGACTGGGAGATGGGTGACTTTTGGCACACTGTCCTTTCCTTTCTGAAAGGACCCACTCTTCCATTGAGAGTATCCCCTTTCTTATCCCTTCCATTGAACTCAAGCCTGTTACTCTGAGCAGCATGTCTGAAATCTTTCTGGTGTGATTACAAGAATTGGGGTCTGCCACCTCAGTTTTATGGCAGTCCTCTGCCCTGTAACAATTTCAAAGTCCATTTTCAGATGCACTGTTAACATTTTCAAATATGTAGTTTGGGACTCAGTAATTCCACCTTCAGGAGTGAGTCTATCCATTAGAAAATTCTCCCACAAGAAAGTATAAAAATATAATACAAGTATTGGCATGCGTGTCATAGTAAGAATGAGAAGTACCCGCAAAGTTCATCAATAAAAGATCATTTAAGGAAACCTTGGCATAGTCATGTCATATAACTGTTAAAATGAATAAGGTAGGTATGTATGTATGCAGTCTTTAGCTAAAAGGAAAAGTCACAGAACAATGTAGGTTATAAGACCCTGTTTTTATGTACAGAAAAAAAAAAACCCAGAAAGATATACAACATTTATTTATTTAGCAAATACTTATTGAGCATGAGCTATGAGCCAGACAGTGAACATAAATAATTTCTGCCTTTGTGGAGCTTAAATTTTCATGTAGGATAATGGACAATAAAACCTGGTAAATAGGAGAGCTACCTAATTCGGTAAAAGATAATAAACATTAAGGACAAACACTAGAGTGGACTGTGATAACTTTTGGGATTAAACATCCTGGAGAAAGGGACAAGGGCTTCATTTTCTATTATCAGACTTTATTGCTCAGATGGGTATCTGTTATTTTCATTACTTTTTAAAGGGAATTGAAAGGATTTCTCTAGTCTCCTCTGTATCTTCAAATTCTCCCATTCAATAAAATCTTTCTGTTCTACTTACAAACAGGAATTTTTCTTCCATCTTAAAAACAAAGCCACAGCAGAATCTCCCCTATCCTTAGATCCCCTCTCCCAGCCAATCCTGCCCCTTATTTTTGTACCAAAGTCCTTGAGGATTTGTCACCTCCTATTTAAGCATCCACCTAAGCCTGCCTTCCTTGATTGATTGATACTGGGAGTTGAGCCCAGGAGTTCTTTGCCACTGAGCTACATCCCCAGCCCTTTTTATATTTTATTCTGAGTCAGGGTCTTAAAAGTTGTTTAGGGCAATGCTGAGTTGAAGAGGCTGGCCTCAAACTTGCCATCCTCCAGACTCAGCCTCCCAAGTTACTGGGAATATAGGTGTGCACCACCACGCATGGCACCACCTACATTTAGACCTCCATGTTGCTGAAATTGCTGTCTCACTTCATCAGTAAATTGCAAGGACACATCATCTTCTCTCTGGGCATCACTTTAAAGTCCCCTGGGATGCCTTTCCTTTCTCTGAGGTGTGTTCTGAGTTAACCTCTCCCTCCACACATTCTCCCAGGATGACCTCATCCACCCTCCTACTTTGCTAACCTATTTTTTGACATCTCCTAAATTTTGATCTCCAATTCTACTTTTCTTGCTCATTTTGGGTTCCATATAGTCATCCCTATGAGATGTTAAACTGAGCATGTTCAAAACTGAATTTTCAATTTTCCTCTTAAACTAGGCATTTTTTCGTGTGTGTGTGTGTGTGTGTGTGTGGTTTTCCTGGAACAAGGGCACTACCATTTAAAAGTCAAGATTGAAAGCTGCAAATCACCTGTTATGAAAATGTGTCCTACTTAATTCTGTGGCCAGTGCACCAGGCACAGTGTCTGACACCTGGAGGGGCACTTAGTCAATGCTTGCCAGTAAGCAGGAAGGAAGGATGAATTGTCATTTTGTGGTGGAGAGAACACTGTGAATTCACCACACTGCTTCACTCTCCTGGTGCACAGATAGGATGTGGTGTTTCTCAGGAGCTAGGTGGATTCATACCACTGTTTCTTGATGGCGGGATGCAGGCAGCGTGATGTTCATTTTCAGGCCCTGCCATGCATTTTCCAGGCATCCCATGCAACCTTGCATGTGCTCTTGCTTTCCCCGTTTGCATGGCTGGATGTAATGGACTTTGACGCTTAGAAAAGAACAGCATGGAAATGCAAGGAACTGGATCCCCTCATCATGCTTGCTTGGAAGGAAGCCATGCCAGGGAGTCACTTGTCCAGGAGCATCCACATGAAGCTTTGAAAATCAAGAAATATGCTCCTGCTCTATTCATCCACCAAGGCCATAGAGACGTTTGTTACAGCATTATTATAATACAGGCTTCAAAATACAATTCTCATATGACACTCGATAACAAAATTATGCTGTTTAGTGAGAATACTTTGTCTTAGCTGTGGGCACAGTAACACTTAACCTTGACTTGTGCTAACAGATGGTAGTACAGCTCTGTGGAGATGCTTCTGAATACTCTGTCTCTGCAGTAACTTCCATTTCTTTCCCATTCCTCAGATTCTGATGTTCCTTGAGCTCTGGGTTCATCCACCATCTATAGGTGAAGTAGTTGATCCATTCTGTGGGTTGGAGTTAGATTCACGTTATCCTTCATAATGTTCAGTTGCTTTCTGCTATTCTTCAACAGATCTTTAGCTTTGTTTCTCTACCATTTTCTCAAAAGTCCTTTGCTTTACCTTTTCATATGCAATGTGATAAATATTAAAATACTAGTAAATATGGTGCTGTGAATGTATACCTTTTGCCAGCCATTATGGATCCAAACTGTTCATCATACACTTTTGTTAGATAAGTGAGGTCACGGTAGAGGATATAACAGCATTCCTTATCTCAAGATAGCACGCATAGTGCTCATTGGCTAAGAGTTCATAGAGAAATCTGGCACACCAGTTTCTCATTGGCTAGGAATATGTTAGAGAGCTGCATTCAGCGACTCAGGAAAATATGTATCCATGGTATACTATTATAAAATGTTACACACAGAAATGATATTTAGAAAAAATATCCCACAGGCAAAGAACTAAATGTCAAACTGGTACTGGTGAGGTATTTGTTAGAGATATAGTTATATCAATCTGCTTTGCTCCACTGTTACAGCCAAGAAAGCCAAGAGTGTATTATAGCAGGTTCCATCTGGTTATGAATGGATTTCAAATGGGTCCTCAACAGTCTGGGGAAAAAAAAGGGTACTTATAACAAGGATGCCCATATAGGTCAAGGTGGTATGCTTTGTGGATTGACTCTCTGTCTGCTCTTGGCAAATTTTTATATTTCAGTGGCCTCAGAAGTTTAGGATAAGTTTGTATGCAAAGCATAGATTCACACAGAAGTGTCTTTGTGTGGCCTTTGTGGCAAAGATCTCTTAGGTCAAGTTCATGTCTTTGCTGACTGAGAGTTTCTTTCCTGAATACCTCTTCCCCTGGAGGCATGACAGCACTTTAGCAGATACAGTTTGAGTCGCATAGCTAAATATAAAATCCAGTAATCATTTCTTTTTGGTTTGCAAGACCTCTTTTCCCCTCTATGTTATTTTAAAAAGAATGCATAAAATAGTAATTATAAATCTATGTTAATGTGTTCATAATATGTAAATATTTAGTCTGTGATGATAATGGTATTAAGGAAAAGGGACAGAGATGTATAGGAGTAGAATTTTCATATGCTATTGAACAAATTAGCATTAATTCAAAAATAGTTGTTTAATTTTAAGGTGTTAATTACAGCCTTGAAAGTAACCTCAAAGAAAATAACTTTAAAAATACAGAAAAGGCAATGAGGAGGGAATCAAAGTGGTACTCAATGAAAATCAAATAGAATAAAGAGAATAATGGAGTAATTGAGGGGTAAAAAAATACATAGCACACAAAAAACAAGCAGCAAATTGACAGAAGTAAGACCTTCCTAATCAGCAGTTGTTTTGAATGTACATTAATTAACTTCTCTAAGTTAAAAAGCAAGGATTGAGAGAATAGATTTAAAACAATGTTTCATCTCCACTGTCTAAAAGAGAATCACTTTAGATCCAGGACAAAGTAGAAAAAAAAGTTTAATGGTTTGGACAAATATATTCTATAATATATTCCGTGTAAATATATTCTGTGTAAATAGCCCTTACAATGGAACATTATTCGTAAGAGGGAATAAAAAGTACTGACACGTGGTTAAATCTTAAACACGCTCTGCTAAGTGAAAGAAGCCAGACATGAAAGGCCACATATTGTAGGATGCTATTTATGTGAGATATCCAGAATGGCCATTTCCACCGTCACTGAAAGCAGATGAGTGGTTACCAGAAACTGTGGGGTGGGGAGTGATTGCCAAATGGGTACAGAATTTCTGTTTAGGGTGATAAAATTCCAGAATTAAATTTCAGTGATGGAATGAACCATATCATGAAAGTTCTTAATGCCACTTAATGTTACATTTTGGGGGGGGGATTGAATTCAGGGGCACTTAACCACTAAGCCACATCCCCAGCCCTATTTTGTATTTTATTTAGAGACAGGGTCGCACTGATTTGCTTAGCACTTTTCTTTTGCTGACACTGGCTTTGAACTTGTGATCTCCACCTCAGCCTCCCAAGCTGCTGGGATGACAGCTGTGCACCACTGCCCCTGGCTGAATGTTTCATTCTGAAGTAGCTAGAATGGTAAATGTTTTATGATGTGGATTGTACCACCATAAAAAAAAAAAAGAAGAAGAAAACAAAAAGGACATACCATCAATGGAAACTGACTCCGAGATAATTGAAAGTTGGATATAATAGTATAGGATTTTAAATTAACTTCTATAAATATTCCCAATCACTTAATCAAATGAATGCTAGCAACAAATGAAAAAGGTAGTGCTAGAGCCAGATGTTTGTCGGCAAATTAGATCTCAAGACTATTTATATAGGGCAGGAAGTGTGTGTGGCTCAGTGGCAGAGCACATGTTTACTGTGGGTAGGGAGGCCCTGTGTTTAATCCCCAGCATCAGAAAGTATATAAGTAAATAAAGAAAGAAATACATAAATAAAGACTGTAGCTAGCTATCTACATAAATAGCTATTTATAGATGATACACACACACACACACACTTATACATGTGTACACACAACACACACACACACACACATGTCTCCCTTAAGACTGTGTATATGTATATCCTTCATATATCAAGACAGCTAAGGTAATAAGAAATTAAATGTTTCAGTATGATTCTGGGATGTCATCCGGGATGTGGCAGAACTCTAGTGGGAACAGCAGAGATGATGCTTCTATGCTCTGATGAGATCAACGATAGGCTTTATATGTGATCTTGAGATGAATCTCTTTTGCTCTGGTTAATTTGATGTGTTAATATCTTTTGCTTCAGGCTGCTTAGGATTAAAGATTAGGCTGAAATCATGTCATAGGGGCTCTTTAATGTTTCCATCTGGACTTTAATATTTTCAGGATTGTATTTCCAAAAACTAGTGTTTCCTTCTTTGGTTACCTCCTCTGTAATGGATCTTGCCTTGGGTTCCCAAAGAAGTATCCCAGGAGTGACAGTATGGCTTTAAAACAAAAACAGAGGGAGCCTGAGTCTGAAGACTCCCTAAGCATGCCCAAATTCTTTGTTGCTCAGGCAACTACTAACAAATTTCTACCAGGTTTCTGGTTAAAAAATTTGTAAGTGGTTCAATCTGTATTTCTTATGTTGAAGCTGAACATTTAATTTGCATTGCTCCCCTCAGTAGGTTCAGAAATGCTAATTTTGTTCTTTTATTTTCTGACAAAAAACCATAAGTTATATCCTGTCCAGTTACAGAAAATATTGAACGATATAACGAAAAGCTTCAAGTATAAAAGAAAAAATAGTATTTTAAGAACATGTATTATGGAGAAATTAGTTGTCTCAGGCATGAAATCTCTAAATGAGCAAAGAGCTGTCGACTTTCTCTTCAGTACAAAGAAATAGGAAAATATGACGCAAGTGTTGTCCTCCACAAACCCATAATATGATCAATTGATTTCTTTTGTTCAAAAAGCTGAAAGAGATCTCAATTGAAAATATAACCTTTAAGTTATCATTATTGTTCACCTAATAATGCCCAATGTTAAAAAATAAACATCTAGACCTGTTTAAGGATCTTGATACTTGACAACTGAGTATCAGACTTAAGTAGTTATTGCTTAGATATATTTCTTGGATGGTTAGTTGTAATTTGTGATCTTCCTTAATTCATAATTAGGCACTAAGGTAAGATTGTTGTACTCAAATAGTAACATTTGATTTCTTCTTTCAAAAAAATATAAATACAAAGAAACTTATTTTAAGGGCATCTCTTTTGTAACCAGAATATGAAATGGGTAAAAAAGCAAAGTTCTCCAAAACCCCTGTTTTTTTTTTTACCTGTTTCTCAAGTTCTTTACCAGAAGCTACTTGTGTTCCTGATAGTTTACATGTCACACACTACAGATTCTCTAAGGAAAAGTCTCTAGAAACTTAACACTGCCACTAAGGCCTTTTATTTTCTTCTACTTCCTTAATATTGCCAGCTTACTACCAATTCTCATTGCAGATGTGGTATGTTGTTTTATTTACATCTGCTTGTCTCTGCCCCATTTTTCATTTACTTCTCTGAAGCATTAGTATACTCTCCTACATAATTGGGATTAAGCTTGCTATATGACTTTCTTTGGCCAGAATAATATATACAAACAATACTCTATAAGTAGTTTGCCCTTGCTCCTCTTGGTTTGGCTGTCCATCAAAAGATCAGAATGTTCCAGACCATTCCTTCAGCCTGGGATCTAGTATGGGGAGGCATGTGGAACTGAGCCTGAAAGAGTCACAGCCAATTGCAGTCCTCATGTAACATGAGTAAGAAATAAATATTAACCATTGGAAATCATTGAGGTAGTGGGATGTTTGTTCCTCAGCAGAAGCTGACTAATACCAAAGGTTATCTACAAAATTAAACTTTCTCTCATCATGTTTTCTCCTTAGTAAACATATTACTTATCAAAAACAGGCTGTAAGGAAATGATTTATCTATGAAATTGAGTTCCTTGACAGCAGGACTTGAAACCTTTCTTTTCAATTTGGTATCCCCAACATTGATCATAGAGTATATAACAAATATTTGATGAGTGAAGAGTTATCTTCAGCTGCAAATTCAGTCTCTGTACCCTGTGAAAGTATCTGTAATGGTTTAGGTGTGAGGTGTCTCTCAAAATCTCATGTGTGAGACAATGCAAAAAGATATAGAGGTGAAATGATTGGGTTATGAAAGCCTTAAACCAATCAGTGAATTAATCCCCTAATAGGGATCAACTGAGTAGTAATTGAAGGCAGCTATGGTGTGACTGAAGGATGTCTGTCATTGGGGATGTGCCTTTGGGGTATATATTTTGTATTTGGTAAGTGGCATGCCTTTCTTTGCTTCATGGTGTTGTGTCTTGAGCTGCTTCCCTCCACACACTCTGCTACCATGATGTTCCGACTTACCTTGAGTTCTGAGGAATGTAGCTGGTTGTCTATGGACTGAGACCTCTAAAACAGTGAGTGCCCAAATGAACTTTTCCTCCTCTAGTTGTTCTCATCAGGTCTTTTGGTCATAGCAGCAGAAAATCTGATTAAAATAGTATCTTTAGGGCTGGGATTGTGGCTCAGCAGTAGAGTGCTCACCTAGCAAGTGCAGGGCCCCGGGTTAGATCCTCAGTACCACGTAAGAATAAATAAATACAGGTATTGTGTCCAATTACAACTAAAAAATAAGTATTAAGAAAAAATATTATCTTTTTAACTCCTAACTACCTCTTCTCAGCCTCACTCTAGGATCTTTTGGTTTGTATTCTTCAAAACCTTAAGTTAACCTCTACAAAACTGGTAGAAAAGAATACTATGGAAAAATAATAATAAGAAGAAGAAGAATAAGAATAAAATTAGCATACATGGACTTAGTATTTATGAGCTAAGTCATTTAATCTGCTTTCTCATTTAAATCTCACAATGGAATGAAGTAAAGCCAAGCATTTCTTCTTTTTTTGAACGGAAGAGAAAGTAACTCCCAAGATCTACAGCTGGTGTGTAGTTAATTTGAGGATTTGGAGCTCAGGTAGTCTTATTGGAGAATCGAATTTTTACTCCAATATATCATCTTAGCAGATTGCATTTAAAAGAAAATTGAAATATACTTTGCATGATTTGATGTATTGCTCTCAGACTGGTATCCTACAAATTGATCAGGGGGCAAGGCTCAATCTGCCTGACTTGCCTAGGTTGGCAGCGACTTGTATCCATGAGGCAGACAGCATCAGAAATCTTTGGTTTTGCCCATTTTCTTGGGTTCATTCTGACTAGCAGAAGATCTTTGAGGAAAGCTTTTATCCTTGACACTTTCTTTTTATTCTGAAAAGTGCACAAGGATTAATGAGACAATTGTCTACAAAGTGCTTTGAGTTCTGTCTGGGGAGCCGAGAGGTGATTTAAGTGCAAGGAATTATTCCTTTACCTTAATTAGTATTGAGTTTTTAAATAGAACTCATCATCGGAGAGTAACACTCAGATTATAATAAAGATCAACAAGGGTCAAGAAGTTCAGAGAAGGTGAAATGTCTCCCCAGGACACTGATATGCTATACACTAACCAAAGAGAATGAAAAAGCCAGGAAGGACCTTGATAAACCATCTATCTATCTATCTATCTATCTATCTATCTATCCATCCATCCATCCATCCATCCATTCATTCATTCATTCATGAGGAAACATGCCTAATGTTACAAGATTGGTTGGGTCAGGTGTCTTGCATAAGGTCACACAGCAAGTTAAGGTTGATGAAGTGGAGAAATGTTCAGTGGGTCTAGTGACATGTGTCATTAGAAAGGGAAGGAGAAGAGGGCAGGGAGGGTCAGGTTGCTGGTGGATGGGATGACTTCAGGGGAAATGTGGAACTTGAGAAAGGTCTGAATCAGCTGGGAGTGAATGTCCAGTATTCATTGTGATCCACACTGTGTGATCTGGAGTGTAGAGGTTGGAACATGCATCATGAGAAAAAAAAATCACAACATTTAATTCTCAATATGAGGTAGGTCCCATAGAAGATGCAGGACTTGTCATTTACTGATGTTTTCTGAGCATCTTTTCTCACTCTAATCCTCCTTTCTTAGAACATAAGTGGTATCTAGTGTGTGAGGCAGTGAATTGAGTCCTACATTCTTAGAAAAGGAGTGGAAAAAAAACTAAAAGTATTTTGTATACCAAGGATATAAGAAACTAATAAAAACAAGAATATCCAATATCAGGCTGGGGTTGTGGCTCAGCAGTAGAGCACTTGCCTAGCACGTGCGAGGCACTGGGTTTGATCCTCAGCACCACATAAAAATAAATAAGTAAAATAAAGGTATTGTGTCCAACTATGACAAAAAAAAAATAAAAAAAGAATCCAACATCAAGGTTTATGTATGGATTTATTTATCCATGTATCTGTCATCAATCTGTCTCTACCTATCTTTTGTTACCTATCATCTACCTATAAATCTATCTCTCTACCTAACAACCAACCTGCTTGCCCACCTATCAACATGTACTTCCTTGTTACTGAGTAGAACTTGAGGACATGAGAGGTGGAGAGAGAATGCCACAGTTGTTCAAAGAAGGTGAAACTGATTCCAGTAGAAGAGAGGATAGTATCAACCATAACCAACATTTATATTGGGTCTACTATGAGCTGTGCTGTGTTTAAGGGCTTTGCATGCATTTACTTACTTAATCCTTGCCACTATCCCACATAGAAGATCTCTGTGTCAACAGAAATCTTGCTCTGCACGTCTCTTGTCACTGTCTTCTTCTGTCTTGGATGGGTTCAGAGCAAATACTGTGGAGTGGTAGCAGTGTCATGCTAAGCTCACTGCAACCTGAGGCAAAAAGAAATCAATATACTTCTGAACCTTTATTTAATTATTTATGTAAACATTTGATGTATTGCCGATCATAGATTTTTGTGGGCATTTTTTTTAGTTTTAAAAATGAATTCAACAATCATTTATTTGATTACTGATTTTGAAGAGTAACTCCCATAGATTTTGCACCTGAGCAAATGTCTCACCCACCTCCCCCAAGTTCCACCCATGAAGAACAACCTCCACCAGTTCTAAGAGAGCCTTAGCAATAGTTCTACCAGAGAGGACTGTGATTGTCTCAGCAGTGGTCCCATGCCCATCTCTGAACCAATCACAGATGCTTAAGAAGACTGCAGTGTTTTGATTGGGCTGTGGAGGTGGGCAGGATCAGTTCTTCTCATCTTCTAGGAGTGTTGGAGAAGGTGTCTTATTGCTGCCTCCTGTGGCAAAGCCAGAGATGGGGATTCTCATTCATTTGATGGGGTTGGGGAGAGGTGTTGTTGCATTCAGCAAGGGGGTGAGAAGGTGGAGAAAATTGTTTGGCAAGAATGTGGTTTCAGGTGAAGATTAGCTGCAATGTGATCCCAGTAAAGCAGGCCACGGGGGTCTCCCCTTTTGTGTGCCCATGCTGGCCAGTCATTCTCTGAGATCCAGCAGTGATGGAGGAAGTCAGCTCCATTTGACTGGGGATATGTCTTTATAGAATAAGACATCTGTGAATTATCATCAGCCCCCACATACAGAAGTCAGGGATGGCCATACAGACCAGCAAGGGACTTGTCCAGGGTCCTACAAAGGTTGGTCCCCAAAGATAAAATAATAACCAGAAATGGATGCTGTTCAGGCATCCAATAGTTATCTGCCAATCTTCCTCCTTAGTAAAGGAAACAGTTGCTTATCCCTTACTGAAATATATTTTAATGGAGAAAAAAAATCTCTTTCTATCCCTCCCTGTACCCCCTCCCTCTCTTACCCTTACCCTCATCAGCACATACACACACATGCACAGGTTCACGTATCCTGATCTAGAATTCTCAAATATTGAAAAGCACAAGTGGCTGCATGTGTCGCCTTCTTGCCTCTGCCTTGTGAGTAAAAGCTTTTAGCAGAGATTCGACAGGCTCACCTGAGCTAACCTCTCTGCTTTCACACAACCCACCTGAGTGACACTGCAGCAGTGAATCATGCTGACACTCCATGTGCAAGCCTGCTGGTAGCTGGATGAGGTGGCATTATGATGAGCAAAACGGACTTCTTCCTTGAAAATTCCATCAGGGGAGGTGTATGCCATTTAGAGGTTTCCTGTGCCAGGAAACTGTGCTGTTAGTTGAGCTGAAACCAGGGCAAGGAAAAAAGAGGGACCTGCCCTCCGCAGCGTGAAGTGCCAGGAAGCCTGCACAAATGTTCCTCTGTGTCAGCAAGGGGGCCCTGTCACCCTTTCATTAGCTGTAATTGAAGGCCTACAGAGGCAGTAATTACAAATACCAGCCAGGTCTCACAGGCTCATCTGTCTTTGTTTATCATCAGAGTAAGAGTATTGATCATTACTAAGGCCTCCCTTTCTTTTGGATAGGGACAGGGAAATTGGATTAACAAAGCCTGGCGTGTTTTGTGTACCACATTGCCTGTAGGGAAGACAGATCAGAAGTACTGAGAAATGGCAAGCGCTTGATTTCCTAGGGTATGCCGGCTGCTAGCACTCTTAGGTGCTTCTACCACAGGGGCTTTATTACTCTGATTCCCCATCATCCTAGCATCCTTGCTCTCATTGGAACACCACAGACCCACAGCACATTGAGTGTCTCTCCTCTTAAACCTGTCTTCAGGTACCCTCAAAATAATGGCCTGCCTGGGAACCAACTTGTTATTCTGAAAGATGGTTTAAAAAAAAAATACAAATACAAGCATTTAACTGGCTCTTACTGTATGAATTGTGCCAAAGTAACTACAGAACTGGACTGGTGAATGGAAGTTTCTCTTTATGGAAGAAGCCTAGCAAAGGAGTGAAAAAGTAATGGTAACATTAGAGCAATGGTTTTCAAGGATGGCATGCATCAAAATCAGCAGACGCACCCAGCTTGGAGATTCTGGTTCAGTGGGTCTGGAGTTGGCCAGGAAAATTGGCTTTCCTAAGATTGCCAGTCTGGGGACCACCATACTTTTGAGAGTTACTGGATTATAGCATGATCGTTTTAGAAACCAGATAAAGTAGATCGTGGCAGAGATTATTAGTCACTATTAGTGTCACAAGAAAAGAGGTAACTAAGCAATAGGTGCCCCCGATGGGAGTATTACAAAGTCACGTATGGGGTATTTTTTTAAATATTTTTTAGCTGTAGAAGAACACAGTATCTTTATTTAATTCATTTATTTTTATGTGGTGCTGAGAATTGAACCCAGTGCCTCACACATGCCAGGCAAATGCTCTGCTACTAAGTCACAACCCTAGCCCCATCCAATGGGGAATTCTTGTCAAAATATGGATGTTTAATCTATCTAGCCAAACCTGAATATCATTTTATAGGAAATGCAAGGGGCAGAGAAATGAATCACACAACTTCACCACAGGGATACACAAAGCCAAATTCATATTATGGGAAACTCTTAAAAGCCAACAAATGAGTTATTATTGGAAAGAAAAGGAGAAGGAGGGAAATGAATGGTTTCTAAGAGACTTAAGTCGCATGATCCCATTAATTGGGTCCGTTGGATCTTGATCCTATCCAATGACCTGTGAAGAAGGAAATGGTAAGATAAGCAAGGCAATTTGAAAGATGGCCAGATATTTGATGACCCCCAGGGGAGTTCCTGTCACCACCCTCAGTCTTCACATGGATGGTTCCTTCTCAACCTTTTATTCAAATTTTTAAATGTTATTTCGTCTTCTGAACCACCTTATCTAGGCAGCAGCCTCTTCTCTATCTCAGCATAATTATTTATATTTCTCGTAGACACCATAACCACCAGGAGGCCTCTTTCTCTCTTAGCACTGTCACCTCTCCTTCCTGGCCCATGGCTGGGAACACAGTAAATTAATGATTATTTCCTGAATTAATGATCAATAAAACCTTAGTGAATTCTAATGTTTTCAAATTCAGAGTCCAGCAAGGTACATAATATTTTACCTTTTCTTCCTTCCTTCCTTCCTCTCTTTCTTTCCCTCCCTCCCTCTTTCTTTCCCTCTCTCTCTACCGCAGGGGCTTGCTTACTCTGATTTCCCATCATCCTAGCATCCTTGCTCTTTCTCTCTCTTTCTTTCCTTCCCTTCCTCTCTCTCTCTTTCTTTCTTTCTCTTTCTTTCTTTCTTTCTTTCTTTCTTTCTTTCTTTCTTTCTTCCCTCCCTCCCTCCCTTCCTCTCTCCCTCCCTTCCTTCCTTCCTCCCTCACTCCCTCCCTCCTTCCTTCCTTCCTTCATGCAAAGTTAACACAAGTTGAGTGATTCATGCAAGATCATAACCTGTGCCAAACTAGCATAGTCAGGACAGAACCCCCTTTTTTTGACTCCTCATCTGATTATCATTCTCTCTGAACAAGTTTTCTCCCATGGATGTCTGAACATCTAAATATTCTCATTTTAACAGTTGAGCATATACTTGATGCTCTTGGTGGAAAAGAGGGTGCTTCGTTCTTTCTCTTCATTTGTGGAAGGAGAGGGGTGAGCACCAGGGATACTGCCTATGTGAGTGAGTGAAATGCGGATTTGGAAAATTAGCATTTTTGGAGAGGGTTGGTTTTTCCCTTCCCGCTTGAAGATAACCATCTTACCTCCTTAACTAGGCTGAAATGGAGTTGGGAGCTCATTTCTATCAGTATATCTGCAAGTTTAAAGTCTCCCCTTTCCCTTTATTTCCATCTCTGCACATATTATCCTATCTATTGCTTGTCATCTCCATTTCTGTCTATGTCTCTATCATCTCCATCTTCATCAATATTATCATCTCTGTGTCTGTCATCTCTATTTCTTTCTCCGTTTCTACCATCTTCATCATCTCTATTTCTTTCTCCATCTATCTCCATCTCGGTCATCCCCATCTTTATCATCTCTGTTTCTGTCTCCATCTCTATCATCTTTCTATCTCCTTCTCTATCTCTATCCATCTCTGTCATTTCCATCTGTGTCTACCTCTCTCTTCATCTACTTTTAACCTCATTCCTCTTCCAAGCTTCTACCATATTGTTTTCTGCTCCCCCTTTCACAGCCAAACTTATTAAAAGAATCATCTATCACTGTTGATCTTCATTTTCTTACCTCATATATTTCTCACTGTCCACTCCAATTTGGTTTCTCTTCCCTCCATTCTTCCCTCCAAACTATCATTGAAAAATAACCAATAATTTCCATATTGCCACATCCAGTAAGTAGGCTGTTCTCATCTTTACCTCAGAAGTGCTGAACAATGAGGTGTCCCTTCTGGTTGAATTATTGCTCTCTTGGTAAGGATCTTTTAGTCAAGATCAATTAATGCCAGAGAAATAAAATCTTAGTGGTTTAAACACAATAAAAATTATTACATTATTCATTGTAATAATAAAAGAGAAAAGGATAGGGAAGATAGTGTACGAGAGAGATTTCTATAGGGTAGGCTTGCAGCTATATGGGTCACTTCCACCCACATTACATTGGCCAGAAATCAGTCTTTTGATCCTTCCTTGATGCAAAGGATGCTAAGAGTCCTGGATGGGTACCTCCTTCCCAGGAAGGCAGAAATGCAGGCATGTGCCAGGTCATAGGTTCCCAAGTCTGCAAAGCAAGACTCAGTGTATTCTCTCCCCAGGTCCCATCTCTGCTTTGTGCCACATAGGCCACTTTCCCCATACCACCCCATCTTTCCCCAGTGAAAGCCTTAGTTTCTTATTAAAGATTTTATAGGGGCCTCCAGATCACTTTTGCACCTAAATCTCCTCTAGAAAATGAACCTATTAAATCCAAACTGCTCTTTCACAAGCCACTAGTGGAGGTTTAATTGTCTTAGTGCAGAGGAACTTGATTTCTCCATTTTTAATGCTGTCTTCTGTAATGGGTGCCCTGTGCTCCTTGCTCTCTGCTGTATACTCTCTGGGATCATTTCAGGTCACAAAAGGAACATCATGACCCAGCACTGCACCACAATGCTGCAGTTTTTTTTTTTTCTGTATCACATTAAGAAAGCGAGAGGAAATATGAATATATTACACATAGAACATGTGTAGACAAGTACTAGCTTTATTACATATGGACGCTTCAGGCTTTTTATTTTAATTTGCTCATAAAAACCACAAGAGCTCTCACCATGCTTCTCTTTTATCTGAAGGAAGATTCATTATATGGCCTGTTTCTCTCAACAGCCTCCCCAGTAGCTGGCTCAGAATTGAACACTATCTGGGGTTCACATAGGAAGTGAGCATGGGGCCCTTACAACCAGGCAAGCCCTTTGCATAAAGACCCCCCTTACCACCCTCAAAATAGAATGTCAGGCTAGAGAGTACCATATTCTGTGTGGCCATGTTCAGCCCTTGGAGAAATTGTTCTTACAGACTGCTTAAGTCTCCTCTCTTGCAAAGTTACTCTGCTTTAAAAGGCTTAATTGCTAGAGAGTGACCTCGACCTAGGATCTGTTGTTTGTTCCTAGTGACTGAAATTCTTGGAGTGCTGGCCTGACTCTCAGTAATCTTGAAACAGTTACCCACATATCACTCACAACCATTGTGCTGTAATTCCTGCTCCCATTCCAAGCATCAGAGTGCCCTAGGCTGGGGTGTACTGAAGCTTGTCTCTGACTATATTCTCCTTGGTACAGAATAATGCAGTTGAACAAATATTCATTCAACTCTCAATCTCCTATGCCCAGTATTAGAAAACAAGGGATAGAGACATTCCATAAAATAACAGCAAATTCTGTGACTGCCCACCCCTTTAAGACTGAAGGACCTAACTACCCGCTGTTGTGATTGGTTAAGTCACAAATTGATTCATCTAACCAGAGTTGCCTCACCTATGGGTCACATCCCCTCTCCCACAGCAGCCCTTATATTATGATGGGTCTGAAGTCCTTACCCTGAAGAGCCATCCTAGCTCAGCATTCCCCATGGTGTTGGCTGAGGTCTTCCTTGAGGCTGGGCTGACTCCCAGCTGTTCCCTTTGCCCAGTTCTGCCTCCTTGCCTTACCTTCTCCAGGTGGTATTCTCAAGAGTATTTTACTGTCCTCTTCCAGAAGGCCAGCCTCTATTTTAGGGCCTGAAACAATTGGTTTTGTAACTAGATACATAAGAAGCTGTGATTCATCACACTAGGGCCCTCTGATGGGAATGGGAGCCA